GACACTAGAAAACTATTTTAAAATACCATTCTCCTATGTAGTCTACAAAGCAACTCTGATTTTCTGATGAGAATTTCGAGCAAGTGATGGGAGTCCTTATCATCTTCAACCCACAATCTCATATGAAACATAATCCCTGCTAGAAAATTCAAATTTGGTTTAAATATTAGGATTTTCAGACATTTTATCTTTTGCTTATTTTATTTTTTTAAATTTGTAATTGACATGTCAGTTTCAATTTGTTAGTTTCTGGTATATATCATAGTGATTCAGTTATACATATATTTATATATCCCTTTTCCTATTCTTCTTCATTATAGGTTATTATAAGATATTGAATTCTATTCCCTGTGCTATACAGTAGGACCTTGTTGTTTATCTATTTTATATATAGTAGTTAGTATCTGCAAATCCCAAACTCCCATTTTATCCCTCCCTACCCACTTTCCCTCCTAGTAACCATAAGTTTGTTTTCTGTGTGTGTGAGTCTGGTGCTGGTTTTTAAATTAGCTCATCTGTGTTATTTTGAAAATTCTACATGTAAGTGATATATATGGGAATTTTTCTTTCTCTTTCTAGCTTCTGGTACACCACATCAACAAAAGAGAGGACAAAAGTCACATGATCACCTCAATAGATGCAGAAAAAGAATCTGATAAAGTTCAATATCCATTCATGATAAAAACTCTTACCAAAGTGGATGTTGAATTAAGTCACATTTATTTACCCTTTGGACTGTTTAGAAATTACACACACACAAGAGAGCATATTTACTTCCCTAAAGATGTGACTGGCTTCCTTTATAAAATGGACAGTCTTTGCATTCTATAGCATCTAGCATGTTACTTGTTACTTAGGAGAAACACAATATTTGGGGGTTTTTTTTGAAATGAAAATAAAAATATATTATCTAAAATATTTCCTGTAATGTCATTTATAACTGCAGAATATTGAAATCATAGGTCTAACAAAAAGAGAACAGATGGCTAATTGTGTGCGAGCTATGTGATGGAGTATTATCCTATGATTGAAGGTAATCTTAAGGAAGAATTTACAATAGCATAGGAAAATACTTATGATATGTTAAATGAAAGAAACAGGATACAAAATTACATCAGGTATGATCTCAGATATGTAAATCAACAGGTGTTGAAGAAAAGGAAAAGGCCAAAATTGTAAGTGGGAAAAAAAATAACTGTAATGGTGGATATGTTTCTTTCCTACACTCCTCCATTTTATACTACAATGATTTTGTATCCCTTTATAATCAAGAAAAATCCACTGAGAAGGAAAAAAAACCCCAAAAAACCTAGTTCCCCCAAAATCCATTAACGACACAAGAATTTACTAGCAGATTCTTAGGCGCCTCCTCACTTCCCCACAACAGTTTCCCTGAACTTGATTCCTTCCAAAATTCACCTCCCAACAAAATCTTCCCAAATCTTTGCCTCCCCATCCCTAACTTTATTGCCTCATACATGATGTTCCCTTAAATTCATTCTCTTTCAACTTGTGTTTCCTAAACCTCACACTGAACTCAAAATTCCTTCAGCCTCACTTCCCCTCTGTGCTAGTGAGAACAGCTCTGGTGGCAAGCCCAGGGAATGGCCCACATCTCAGTTCAGGCTTGGCCATATCAGAGCAGGTAGGTCTGGGAGAGGAGAGTCGGTTAGACTTCCCCTCCTACCCTCTAATATGACACCCGTGATACCGACTGTGCCTAGAAGTGGCCTGACCAGAGGGGCCAGAAATATTGTTGCACAAATGCTCTTCAAATCTGTTTCTTATTTTAAACTGTTTTGACTTTTAAGCAATTTGACTTTCAAGCATAGCCTCAGCATTGTTGTTTAGTCCATTTCTTCCTCCTGAAATTCTCAAAATGGCTCATTTATCTAGCAGCACCTCTCCCCAGGGCCTGAACCAATTCTGGTTTTTCCATTTAAGTGGGTAACTCAATGTAAGAGACTTACTACACGCATTAGCCGTTCCCAAAGTCACTTCTTGTTCTTGGGCTCTGCACCACCCACTGAAACCCTTTCCCCCAGCTTCAGAGTGTGAGAGTGCGTCCGCGTGGGCGCGGTGCAGGTGGAGTTCTCCGCCCTAGCGCACAGACGCGGCTTCCCTGTCCATCTTGAGCGCTCCCGCGGTGGGCGGGCGCCGGGTGCCTCCGAGCTGGCCCACGGCTCCGGACCCGGATCTAACGGTCTATCCCCGCTCTAGCGCACCCCCCGCTGAGCTTAAGCTCACGGAGCCTTTGTCTGCCATCGCCACAGCCATAGCTCAGACCTCGCAGCTCCAGGGCTTCCTAGTCCCACCGGGGCTGCCCCAGTCTAAGGACCGCCCCGGTCTAACGGTACCCCTAATGGTGCCCCATCTAACGGTCGCCCACCCAACAGCCGTGCGAGCGTGCGTCGTCTGTACGGCGGCGGCGGATTCAGAGACAGCTTCCAGAAACAGGTAAGCCGATTTGGGGCGGCTAGTATTAACTCTTACCTGGCCCCGGGCTTTTCGGGGAGCCTAGCATAGGGAGATAGGGCCTGGGGGCTACCTTGCTTCATCTCACTTCGGCTTGGGCTCTTTGGGCCACTGGGGCCTGTGCCATCGCCGTTCCTCCTCCGGGATTCCCCGCATCGCCTTGTGACTCAGCCCTGGGGTTCCCCTTGCCTGCTCCACGATACCCTCCCCGCACCACGTAACCCCCATCCCATCATGATCCAGACTCAGGGGTCTCTCCCAGCGCCTCATAACAGCACCCCCAACCCCCACAGGAATCTCCGCTGTTGACTGTTTCCCGTGAGCCTCGTGATTCGGACGTCTCTCCCCTAGGATGTTCTGCAGGGAGCGCTCCATTCTCCTTTGAGGCTTGAGGGCTGCCCTGTGCAACAGCCTCAGTGTGCTGCAGAGGCCGTCCGCAACCTCATACCTTTTGGCGTAGTCCATGGACCCAACGCCCAGCTTCTCAGTGCTGCTCCTGAGGGTGTGCCCTTGACCCAGCGCGAGCTGCATGCTGAGAAGGGCGCTGGAGTGAGCTCCCCACTTATCACCCAGGTGAGCCACAGAGTTGGGAGTGGTGCTGCTGAAACCAGCCCTTCCTCTCCAAACTCCGGGGAAGAGGCCTTGTCTAACCGCCTGAATTTCCACACTTCTGAGTCCTCGTGTCCCCTGCGCTGACCACTTCTCCCTACTCTGACTCACCGCCCTCCAGGTCCACTGGTGTGTCCGCCCTTTCCGAGTATTGCTGGTACCCACCTACATCGAGGAATATAGGTAAGAAGAGGATCTTCCTGCCCTCCCCAACTAGAGTCTTCTCAACTCCTCCCCAAGGACCCTAGACCTTTCCCCTTTACCTCTAAACATTTCCAAACTTTTCACATGATTAGCCCCCTCTTCTTTGTTTCTCATGTTTTCTCCTTCCTTGTTTTTCAGTTCTCAAGTGCCATCTCCAATGTCTGCCCCTTTACTAGCTTCATGTCCTTGGGTAATTTGACTTCTCAGAGTCTCAGTGTCCTCCTCTGTAAAATGGGGATACAAGTAGTGCCTACGTCCCAGGGTGGTTCTGAGGATTAAATGGGCTAAGGCCAACAGGGGTATATGCGGAGTAGTTAGCACAGAGCTCAGCAAAGGTCAGCTGAGTTGTGACCCCATCCTCACCCCTGTCTTCCAGATGCACGAGTCTGACGGCTCCGTCATAGTCTATCGGCATGCACTGGACTCTGGAGATGCCTCCTGTAGGGCTGAGTGGGGCTGCCGATCCGGCCGGAGCCTCTGTCTTCTCGCCACCCTACTGCCCGCGCCTGCGGTAGGCCTCCAGGGGGTGCACAGCGGAGTGTTGAACCAGAACCTCCGCAAGCTAGCGCACCCAGCGGTGCGGCAGACGCGCAGTGTCCAGGCGCACCATCGTGTGCTTGCGGCCCATTCTGCATGGCGGTGCACCGAGCCGCGGGGTCCGTGTGCTTGGGCTGCTGCGGCAGGAAACCGGCTAGCGGCTGAGCGCCGTGGTGCGGTCGGCAGAGCGGCCCGACACGGACACGCCCGGGGTGATGCGGCGCACATCCTCATTCTTGGTCTCTGGCCGGTCTCCAGCCACATGAGGCTTGGGTGTGTAATAGCAGAGATCTGAGGGAGAACTGGGAGCTGAGGGGCTGTGCCCTCCCGACTGAGGCCCGGGGGCTGGCTCCCAGAGACAACTCCAGAGAAGAGTGAGGACTGGTGGCAAGCACCACCTCCACTGCCGGTTTGGTACTCGAGTTCAAGGGTCGGATCGAGGTGGCCCCTTGCCTGGCTGTCTAGTTCCTCTAAAGGACCGCGAGGCTCTGTCTCCTGAAACTGCTTGGGGTGAGTGGGGTTTTCAGGGTGACTCTAAGCTCCTGAGAACGCTCCCAAGATTCCATCCGCTCCTCAGAGTCTGTATCCATCCAAGATCTTCCTAAAGGGATCTGGTCCATGCTCCCTTCGTCCTGGGGAAATACATTTGCCTTGGATCTCCTGCAGTCCCACCGAGGCAGGCACGTGCAGCACGGGCATGGCTCCCTGAGCCCAGGAGTCAGTTGGGCAAGGTGAGGGTTCCTCATCCTTGGCCCACGTGGGGTCTTCTGCCAGGTGGGTTTCTCCCTCATCCTGGGGCATGAAGCCCATCTGGACCATCTGCAGCACGGTCTCCAGTTCCCATTCGACTGTATTTGGTATGCATTGCCATTCCAGGTAGGATTTGTATGCGGCATCCATGACTCGGTCCTTTAGCTTGTCCATGATGTTGCTGACTACCTGCTCACCCTCCTCGCAAGCCCTCAGCTCTGCCACCTCTGCCTCAGTGAGCTGTCCAGGCACAGTGTCCCCCTGCAGCACTGGAACTTTAGGTGATGTCGCCTTTTCTGCCTTGGATCAGGTCACTCTAGGGTCTCGGGCCTGCTTCTCCTGCCTCTGCACTCTGAGGGGACCACTTGCAAGTAGGCTGAAACATGCAGAGAGGCTGAGCCACCAGGCGGCAACACACGCTACCATAAAGGGGCAGCCAGGTGGGGTGAGGTCATGAGAGCGGAATGCATCTTGCACTGCTGCCAGGGTGAGGGTGGTATGAGCCAAGAGGGGGTAACGAGGACCTCGCACAGTCGGTGTGGGGAGCAGGATGGACCACTCTCTGAGCCCTCAGCATTCTCCAGTGATGCCCGAACACACCTCCCTGAGGAATGGCCCAGGGAGCTGTGGCAAGCCTCTTCGGGGCTCCAGCCAGGGCCCCCTCCTCTTCCACACAGGGCCCATACAGCTCCTGCCGCAGTTCAAAGTCTGGCCCTGCCTCGGCAAAAAGCACGTTCTGAAAGGAGATGTCTGTGAGGGTCCTGTCCACCAGGATCATCTCCAGGTCCTGAATGTGCTCCCATAGCTGCAGCAGTAAGAACACAGCCCGGCGGTGCAGGTCGCCTTTGTTCTTGAAATACTCTGTGTCCTTCCACGTGAGTGGAATCCGGAGGTCAGAGATGCAGACCCAGCCGGGGCAGGGGTAGTGCTCAGCGGGTGGCCCACTGTCAGAAAGCTGCTGGCCTGTCTTCCCCAGCACCTGCACCTCCTTGTGCCGCTGCAGCTTCCCCATGTAGCTCAGGATGCAGCTGTTGCACACCAGCAGGCTCTTGGTGGCCTCCAGAGCCTGCTATCACTGGGAGCAGGCCACCAGCAGCTTGCAGGCCCCTTCCCTCATCTGGATCTCATGGTCTAGCTTCCTCTGCAACTCTGTGTCCTCGGGCGGGTCGCTGAAGAGGCTGAGTCGGAAGTGGCCACGTTTGAACTCTATCTCCGGGGTGGAGCCCCTGGCCATGGTGACCTGACTCTGGTGGTTTCAGGAGAACATGTTGGTGGCACTGCGCCTGTGCCTGTGCCTGCCCTCTGCATTCCCCGCGCCTCCTGGATCTGCCTTGTCTGGCTGGCTTCTATCCCCTCAACGCCCACCAGCTAGTCTGGCTGGGAATCTCCTGCTACCCTGCAGTATTTGTTGAATAAGTGAATAAGTGAAATTAATAAATAAAAAGCAGAGAATGCCTTTCCCACTATGTAACAGCATAACCTACCATGGCAATGTTAAAGCATATCACAGGGAATTAAAACTGTTGAAATGGCAGAATAAGTAGAGGGGTATGATTGTAAACATTGAAATTTTGGTACAATCTTTTTTTTTAAATGTAGATTCTGAGTTCTAAGAAGCTTATTGACAAATTACCCCAAAGTAATGCAGGGTGGCAGCTGTACACAGATTCACAATCAGAACTACAGATTACTGATTTCCAATTCTATTCCCGTCTTATCATAATCAATAGTTCTCCGTACAATGTACTGAGAATCAAGTATTGGTTTCCCAGGCTTGAATGGACACAACCAAAGTTAGCTTTTACCTCAATGCCTGGTAGGTATGACGTCAGCCACTTCCTGGATTTCAAAAAGAGCTTTTTCCCCTCTCATGAGTGATACATTCACGTTGCCCAGATGGGCAGATGAATGCAACCACATAAATATGTGAACTTGTCTCTGGGTGGCAGGCTCAGCACCATTTCTAATTTGGAAAGAATGACGAATTTCTGACTTGCTGGCAAGATGCCAAGTGATGACTGCATTTCTGTGCATGAAGCAACAATTCAATATGCAAAGTCTGCCTGTATAACTGCTTATTTTGGAGAAGATTTCTAATTGGCTGCATTTGAACAGAGATTATTTTTGAAAAATACATGCATTTCTTTCAGAACCACTGTTCATCAGCATTCTACCCCTCCAACTTCATCTTCCTCCACATAAATTAATACACAGTTCCTCTACCCCAAAAGCACTTAAGTATATAACGCAGTCCCAGGTGCACCTTAAAATAGTCATAACACTAGCTATTGCTTTATTACTTAGCAATGTATGTCTGCCATAAAGGAAAAAAGGGGGCAGGTATAATTTCCATATTGCTTATTGATGGATGCAGGTGCTGCATTGCACAAGTTTATAAGGGTTATGGATAGGTTTTCAGAATATTTTTTAACAATTGATGAAACAGTAAAACACACATAAACCAATAAGACTTGTGGGACACCACAAAGTCTGAGTCCCATCAAGATGCAAAGACTATAAGTCTCTAACAGAGAACATCCCAGCTCTCACCAGTAAAACGGGGCAATATTTCTAGGTGGGAGAGAAAGAAAAGGGTACAGGAAAATAGATGTAAATTTACGTAGGGTCAGGCAAGAGACTGAATCCATTAAATAGCAGTCCTTGGCCTAGAGTTAACATTCAGCAAACATCCATTAATGAATTCATAAATGAATAAATGTAGTGAGTGAAGGTGTGAATACACTTAATTTCTTTTCTGACTTTCTGCTTGTTGATTTATCATGCTAAAGGGGAGAGAATTGGAAAGTCTGAAATAAATATGGCGGTGTCAAAACCCATATAACTGTATAACTCAAAGACTGAACCCTAATGTAAACTATAGACTTTCAGCTAATAACATATCAATAGCAGGTCATCAGTTGTAACACATTCACCCACCTCACT